TGGAAAAATTCAGATTTAGGAAGGATATAGGAAAGCACTGGTTTGGTAATGGAGTTGTGGATGAGTGGAACAAACTCCCGAGTACCGTCATAGAAGCTAAGACGTTGTGTAGTTTTAAAAATAGGTTGGATAAATACATGAGTGGGTGTGAGTTGGGCCTGACTAGCTTGTGCTATTAGGTCTGATGCCGTGCTCCTTCCTTAAGTGGATGTGACCTGACCTGACTAGGTGGATCATTGGTTTAAGCCGAGAGGTGACTTGGACCTGCCATGCATGGACCAGTAGGCCTTCTGCAGCGTTCCTTCTTTCTTACGTTCTTAATTTTACTTTGAAAAAATATGCCATAACTTTGGCAAATTGACACACACACATGCTGAATTAACAATCCCAAAATTCTTCTATATACAATGCTCCAGTTGTAAATGTTTGAAGCCGATCAGAAGAGGCTTTCTCAAGTTGTCACACGGAAATCAAAATTGTTAGGAATATATAAAACTGAGCAGAGAGCTCTTGCAGATGTCACTAATTCCATGAACCTTTCTCTTCTATAATTCACTTGAGTACCTGATTATAAATGCCGCTTGTGGAATATATCTGTACGGTAATATTATATTTAATGTCTCGCTAAAGTCGTGAAATTTATTTTTTTATATAAAAATTTGAATTCTCAATATTTCTCCCTTCATAAAACTGAAATGCCCATCCTTTCTACAACCTACGAGACAAGGAATTCAAGTTAAATGTTACAAACTGGCAGCTACAAGCAGAGCATCAGGTAGAAGATGCATTCGCAAAAAAAATTGTATGGAACCAAAATATAGGTTTCGATGAATCTGGCAACACAAAGCACCAATTGGAACCTTCGATTAAGATACACCAACATTTAAATTTTAAATATAATCAGAAGAGGCTGTCTCTAGTTCTCAAATTACTCCCACACTTCAAGTTTACAATTGCTTACAAGTTTTAGCCTCAGTTTTTCAGCCATGTATTCTTATTTTTCATCAGTTTTCTCTTGAAAAACATTATTTAAATTTTTCGTGTTTCCACAATCAAATCAGCAACTTGGCACATAAGCCATCACGCTGCCGCCATTTATCTTCCCTCCTCGCTGACGGCCCCACCTCTAACACAGACTCCCTCTTTGACTTTTTGAAAACAGATTTATTACATAAACTTCGATTATAATTCATTTAGCACTTTATTAACCCCACTCTGTTATAATCTCCACCCTACCCTGCAGTGTTGTGTGACCCTTGTGGGTTTACCGCTTAGTTATTAATAATAATAAATTAGCACATGCATAGCCGAAATTAATACAGACCTATATCTAAGATACAACAGTGTTTATGGGTTGAAGCCGATCGGAAGAACCATTCAAAAATTAATGCACTAAAATAAATCTGTATAATAAAATACACAAATAACCCGCACATAGGAAAAAAGAACTTACGACGACGTGTAATAAAATTATCGAATTATGTTACAAAATTAATGGGACTCAAACACATGGCGAGCAAGCAATGAAACTCTCATACCTGTCGAGTTTTAGAACTCAGCTGCCATGGGTTCAAGTCTTACCCGTTCCGTGGTTTGTTAAGATACATCAGTGTTGGAAATGTGAAGCCGGCAACAAGTTTTTTTTTTCAAATCATGGCCTGGTCATGGACCGGGACGCGGGGGCGTTGATCCCCAGAACACTCTCCACGTACGGAAACCGAAATATAGAATATACTTTATAAAACTGACGAAAGGACATCTGCTTGTACAAATAATTCCATGAACTTATCCGTTGTTATAATTCCATGAACCAGCCCTTTGCTGTCATTCCATGAATCAGCCCGTTGTTGGCATTCCACGAACCATCCCGTTGCTGTCATTCCACGAAGCAGCCCGTTGCTGTCATTCCATGAACCATCCCGTTGCTGTCATTCCATGAACCAGCCCGTTGCTGTCATTCCATGAACCAGCCCGTTGCTGTCATTCCACGAAGCAGCCCGTTGCTGTCATTCCATGAACCAGCCCGTTGCTGTCATTCCATGAACCAGCCCGTTGTTGTCATTCCATGAACCAGCCCGTTGTTGTCATTCCATGAACCATCCCGTTGTTGTCATTCCATGAAGCAGCCCGTTGTTGTCATTCCATGAACCAGCCCTTAGCTGTCATTCACTGTCACATAATTCGGCCTCAAGGCATTGAGAAAAACCTTGAAGAGTACCAGGTAACTGATCAACTGTCTCAGCTCTGATACAAGACTGTTTGAAACAAGATATATTTCGGCCCCTGTGCATTTTAGAAAGTTATCCCGTATCTCATAACCTCAGCCTCCTCTACTTCAACCCACGCAAGATGCATAGTAGGTGAGGCTCCAAATCCTTAAGAGGCATATGAGTTGCAGGCAAACTTCCTGAAGAGATCTAGGAGACCCAAGAGGTCCGGGAACTGGAAATCAACACTGTGAAGGCCTTTCAAAAGGAGGTACCACAATGTTGGTCGGGGGGGGGGGGGGGAGTTGTGAACCAAGATATTAGACCCATTCACTTCCGTTGGATCGACCCTAATTGCCTCCCATTGCTTCAGGCACTTATTATACCTACAGGTTTAGCTCTCCCCAATGAATGTATTATTAATAATAATAAAATAATGAAAATATAATAATAACAGTTCTTGAAAAGCAGGAATTTTGCATTTACTCACTGAAGAAGTCTTACAGGTGTAGCTTAACATCTTCAGCAGCCTCAGTACCAGGAGCTGTAGTAACCCAAAGGTTTCTCTAAGTCACATGCCGTAGTGTTGAAGGTTTGACGCCGATCAGTAGAGAAATTCTCCAGTTATACAGAAACTAGCATCCCATTTAATTTCATAATATTGAGAAATTTACACACATCATTAACACTGTACATCTTTATTTGAGAAAAATGAATCAGTACTGAAAGTTTAAAAGTGAACAGAGTTCTTGTCGATTTTTAATAGCAAAAATTGGAACGTAAACAATCCAATAACAAATAAAATTTTTTACTATGTTAACTAGGATACACCTGCGATAAAAGTTTGAAGAAAATTGAAAGAGGCATCTCATTACACAACCCGCATACTGGAGGAATTTATGACGACGATGTGGTTCAACAGGAGCTAAGACTCGACCCCTGCAACCACAAGTAGGTGAGTACACTTACATTATCGCATGATAACTACTGCGCTAGTTACATCTGTTTGGCAGACACAGCCTAGTAACAACACGACTCCTCTTATAACAAATTATGTACCACCAATACTGAATATTTCAAACCCATTAGAAAAGGCATCCCTTATATCGCAAGGAAGTGTTCAGGGAACCATAAAGTGCCTCCTGGCCTGGTGGCTCAAGTTCTCGCTTCACACAGCCAGGGTAGAAACATTGGACGTGTTTCCTTACACCGGTTGTCCATGTTCACCCATCAGTAAAATGGGTACCTGGGTGTTAGTCGACTGGTGTGGGTCGCATCCTGGGACAAAAGTGACCTAATTTGCCCGAAATGCTCAGCATAACAAGCGGCTTTCTATATAGTAGTATGTCATTGATGTCAGCTAGGACTGTATACCTTGTACATGTACTTGTATAAAGATACATTAAGTCAATGTTCTAGTCTATATTCAACCTGGTTTTTGTGTAACTCGACGAACACAGCCCAGGAAACTGGTTTTTAAATGGTATTAATCTCTCACATCATGGTAACCAATAAACTATTGATCATAATGAAATTCACACAAGTTACCCTCGTGTTCGAGACACTACGCTATAGCATAAAAAAAGTATCATTAATCATATCTTATATTTAAAATTTTTAATAGGTTCTTGGTAAAAAAAATTAACCTCTCTTCAGCTTCTGAAGAAAATTGCTTGAAAATATATATATTGTAGGTTTAAAAGACTGTACAGAAAAAATTAGTTTTCAGCCTAATAGCTTCAGAAAGTAAGTGTGATTACACAGAAAAAATACGAACAAAATTTTCAAATTATTACTTACATACTCCAGTAACAGTCACAACCATGTAAATGATTTACATAAGTCACAGCCATGTAAATGATTTACATAAGTCACAACCATGTAAATGATTTACATAACAGTCACAACCAGGTAAATGATTTACATAAGTCACAACCATGTAAATGATTTACATAAGTCACAACCAGGTAAATGATTTACATAACAGTCACAACCATGTAAATTATTTACATAAGTCACAACCATGTAAATGATTTACATAACAGTCACAACCATGTAAATTATTTACATAAGTCACAACCATGTAAATGATTTTCATAACAGACAAGTTGAAGAATCATTATTGTTGCAACATTCAGTAACCAGTGGCGTCCTTAGTCCGGTACAGAGATGATTGGTGGTAGATGAGGTGGAGTTTGAGGTAATCAGTCCCTCAGCCTGGATTCTATGTGATCAGACTGAGGGAATCATTACCTCAAGCTTTTTCTCTACACATATGCTGCTATGTATGATAATTCTATGTAACTGTATTTGTGTATACCTGAATAAACTTACCACCATTCACCTCTGTATCTGTATCGGACGGAGGAAACAAACCACTGGTTGGCGAAATATTACCACAATATTCTCAGATGTTGCAAAAGTGTCTAAGTCTTCAACAGACATAACTTGCAAGCTGGATACAACAGTGTATGAGGTTTGAAGACTATCTGGGAGATATTTTCTAGTTATTGCGTGAAAAACAACGTATTTAATAAAACTGGCAAATTAAACTTGCACAACCCAAAGGCAATTTGAAGCCGATCAGAAGAAGCATTCTCTGGTTATCGAGCTGAATCCAACAACTCCGTTTATTAACAAAGGGAGAGAAGACATTAATGGACAATAGGTGACTAGGGGACAAGGGGTGTTTACCGAGGGACAAAAGGTTGCTAAGGGGTAAGAGATTTCAAAGAAATAAGGAATAAATGAAGTACAAGGGCTAAAGGCGTAATAAAGGGTCAAAGGGGTTACCTTGTGGTAGTCGTATACTGAGTTGACTGGCGCAGCTGGTCAGTTCTTGGTGAGTCTTTCCTTTTTTCCAGGACCCTCTGTGCATCTCCCGACACACCTCCACCTGCAGGCAAGAGTAGAGTAGGCAGTTGTGGAGGCCAAGTCTGCAGTGGATAATTGTGGAAAGCAAGAGTGAGATGGGTAACTGAAGGGCAAGAGCTCACTGGGCACTTGTAGAAAGAGAGCTTGGAGTGTATAATCTGGAAGGGCAAAACTGAAGACGGCACAAAATAAATGGAAGTGAATAAATGCTGATCAAGAGCGAAATAAACATTTGTTTGAGAGGATTGGAGTGGTTAGCAGTTGAAGGAAAAGAAACTGTGTGAGCAGTATTGGCACAAATGAGAGAGAAAATGGAATAGGCAAAATATTAGATAAATATTTCAATAGACAAGACTGCAGAAAAAAAAAATAATACAACGAATAAGATTTCAGGGAATGACCGTAGTGAAAAAAAAAAAAACAAAATTTTAGAGAGAGGAAGCGGAAAGTAAAAATAGATGAGACGAGAGTTTAGAAAAAATGTGGACTGGACAGTACAGTGATCACGATCACTGATGGAGTGAAAAATCTCTCTTTTCAGTCTGAAAAATCTTTTGAATGTCTTAGTTGTTTTGTTGTCAAAATTGTCAGTAGACGGAAGTAAATTATCTATTTTTTTTATTACGATCACTAGTACGGTTGGCTGGCGTGAGCCTCACAACACAACGCTGTCAACAACCAGAACATTCTCTTCAGTTACAATGTAATCAGCAAGACTCAGGTGTTCGGTGATTCCATTTACCTTCCAAATTTTTCCCAGATTATCTCTAGAGCGCTGTTGGCGCATCGGCCGTTTTATTGCCAGTGAATATCGTAGCTATAAATCTCCGTGTATCAATTCGCAACAAGCTAAGCTTTGATCCAGCAACCATGGTTTCTCCATCTAATATGTGTGCTGCGCAGGGAACCTGTTATAGTCTCCACTCTCCACTCCGGGTCTTTTCTTGTAATGACAGTGATCATACTCGTGAACGTTTACCTAATAATCCGCCACTTGTGGAGACAAGTGGTGGTAGACCAGATTTAGCTCAGGATCCATCTGCCTCGTTTGCGCTCGTTTTGGCAACACTTAATCTTGTGTAGACTAGGGAAGAATGTGCTTTTGCTAAGAATATGATAAAGAGAGGAGACAGTGCCGTCGTACCTGTGATAAGCATCTTGGTGTACAGAAATCTGTCATTAACTACGTTTCTCTGACGCAGATCCTGAACAAGTCTTCGCATCGGTCGAAGATCAGGTCCGAGCTTTTCAGTAGCCGCTCCAGCACTGGGCGTCACTTGTTCGCACAGCATTATATGGGAAGACACAGGAGTATACCTCAAGCTTGTTTGAGGAAGATTTTATAATTTACAGCGTTGTGAAAGCTTCAGTCCTTGATGCCTATGAAATTTGGCAAGCATTTTTGTGGAATTCTGCCAGCAGGGAAGTATGGTATAAGAGGAAGCGGTCCCAGCAGCTAGTTTTCCTTAATTTGTGCCAGAGTGGCTCATTACCCATTTGAAGGATGCTGAAGAACTACAGCTGTACGAACACTGTGGGACTGGGGGTGTTGTATGTACCAAGTGCATCACTTTTATTTGGTATGCATCATACAACCATACATCCTTCATTCCATACATAATTAACTAATAACCCGTTACCTTATTAGCAGTAGAGCATTGGGGCACCAACCTTTATTCGCAGATAAACTACCAGTTGTTAAAAGAGTGAATGATTAAACTACACCCAGGTCTGAGGGTCAGTCTCTCACTCGCTTCATGATGATTAACACATACAAGAGTTCTGTCCTCAGTGATTATATAAGCTGTAGTAAGTGAACATGCTCATTCTTGTTCTCTCTCATTTACTTTGAAAAATATACCATAACTTTTGCAAATTGACACACATTCGCTGAATTAACACTCCCAAAATTCTTCTAAATACGATGCTTTAGTTATAAATGTTTGAAGATATAATTGCAAATAAGTGTGTATGATTTTGTTGAAGGGAATATACTTGTATTCAGAAATAACCTGTGGTGTACGTTCTTTAGTTTCATCATACTGTTTATACTGTTTTATTCATTCCTCCCTTTCTGGTATTATATTTATGGCCGGCTACCACATACAAGTCTACACAATAGTCAGGTTCTCCACTGATAGTCGAGTCTTGCATTGTCATAGTCAACACAACATAACAAGGTTCACCACTGATGTAGTCATCTCAGTCAGGGCCACAACTTATTATTTGTAGTAGAAATAGTAGTTGGAGCAGTAATAGTTGAAGTATTAGTAATAATATTTGTAGTAGTAATAGTTTTAGTAGTAATAGTAGTAGTCTTAATAGTATTGTTAATAGTAATTGTAGTAGTTGTTGTAGTTGTAATAGTTTTAGTAGTAGTATTTTAGAAGTTATAGTAGTAGTTGTAGTCATTGTAGTAATTGTAGTAGTAGTTGTAACAGTAGTTGTAGTTATAATAGTAGTTGTATTAGTAGTTGTAGTAGCAGCTATAACAGTAGTAATTGTAATGGTAGTAGTTGTATTAGGTGTAGTTGCATTAGTAGTTATAATAGTAATAGTTGTAGTAGTAGTTGTAATAGAATAAAACTTTCCCTTTAACTTCTGGTATTTACAAAATATCTTTCAAAGTCCCTCTTGTTTAAATTACTGCTGACCATGTGTCAGCAAGTGTACAATATGTTGAGCACTCTGTACGAGTTTCCTGAGAGCCCCTCACTCGACCACTGGCTGGATACTCACCCTGCGATGACACTCTTCTTCGTCGGTTGAGTTGGCACACATCGTTTCTGGCGGGTGGGGGAAAGTTGATATTATTGTTTTGTAGGTAAGTACAGAGTAGTTGACAAGAAGGGAAATGTTAAGGATATTGAGTACTGGATATTGTTAAGGATGTTGAGTACTGGACATAATTGACAGTGCTAGACTAATATAACTCTCAATTACGATTTTTCATTAGTCCAGTCTGTTAGTAATCTTCATGACTAGCAGATTGGCTTTTATAGCTTGGCTTATATAGTTTTTAATATATTTTAAGTGTCGAAAGTTCAGTACACAGTTAAGTTTACAGGCTAAGCGCTGTTAACCTACCTCAGCTCATTGTGTACGTGATCATCTCAGTGATTAATTACTACATGAGTTTGCATTGGTTGAGCTCTATATTCAGAGCCCCGCCCCTTAGCATCACGCTTGCTGACATGACCCTGCTCTATCCTGCGTACTTATAAACCCATGCATGGTGTCATGCTCCAAACATCACCCCATTTCTTTATTTTTCCATATAATACCAGCATTTTGTAACGTCCTTACAACTCATTTGTGTTGATATTCAGTTAGTATCCTCTCGTTCCGCACACTTCTGACGTTCATATCTCCCACGATATGTTCTATTGCATACATGTTTGTGCCTTTTTAATAAATAAGCTCTGGCTTTAATAAGAAAATTAATACTTAAATATTTTTCCTTGCACACATTTTACTTACGTGTATTGTAACAGAGTAGGACCACACACACACACACACACACACACACACACACACACACACACACACACACACACACACACACACACACACACACACACACACACACACACACATATCCGATGCCCCCGCCCACCTCATAACAAACTCCACCTTCACAGCAACCACCTATAGTTCCTCATCAGGTCTCCCGCTTTCCCAGCCCCAACATGCCCTCCAGTTTAAGGTTTGCAGATGGAATAACAAATGTGAGGAGTGGCATGAAAGAATCAAGGAGACATCCCCAGACATAACAGCGCTCACAGAAACGAAACTCACCAGGATAATAACAGATGCAATCTTTCCACCCGGATATTAAATTCTCAGGAAAGATAGAGGGAGCAGATGGGGAGGAGGAATTGCATTGCTCATAAAAAACTGGTAGGGATTTGAGGAAATGGAAGGAATGGATGAAATGGGCGAAAGGGACTACATAGTAGAAACAATCCAGTTTGAGGGCCATAAGGTGGTAATTGCTGTAATGTACAACCTGCCACACAACTGCAGGAGGTCAAGAGATGAATACGACGAGAGCAACAGAGCAATGGTAGACACATTAGCCGAGGTGGCCAAAAGAGCTCGCATGGGGTGCTCTCAATCACACGGAGATTGACTGGGAAAACCTGGAGCCCCATGGGGGTCCCAAATCATGGAGAGCCAAGATGATGGATGTGGTACTGGAAAACTTCATGCATCAGCATATTAGAGACACTACCAGAGAGAGAGGTGAGGATGATCCAGCAACACTGGACCTTGTATTCACCTTGAGTGGTTCGGACATCACGTACGAAAGTCCCCTTGGAGTTAGTTACCATGTGGTTGTGCTTTGATTACATACTTGAGCTACAAGTGGAGAGGGGAGCAGGAATAGGTATAAACGAAACTACAAAACGTGGGACTACACAGGCATGAGGAACTTTCTACAAAACGTTCAGTGAGAGAGAGAATTGGCAGGAAAACCAGTAAAAGAAATGATGGATTATGTGACAACAAAATGCAAGGAGGCAGAGGAGAGGCTTGTTCCCAAGGTAAAGAGAAGCAATGGGAGGACCAGAACGAGTCCTTGGTTCACCCAAAGGTGTAGGGAGGTAAAAACTAACTGCACTGGGTGGCCTGGTGGCTAAAGCTCTCGCTTCACACATGGAAAGCCCAGGTTCGATTCCCGGCGGGGTGGAAACATTTCGACGTGTTTCCTCACACCTGTTGTCATGTTCACCTAGCAGCATATAAGTACCTGGGTGTTAGTCGACTGGTGTGGGTCGCATCCTGGGGGACAAGATTTAGGACCTCCAAAGGAAATAAGACAGTCCTTCCTCGATGACGCACTAACTTTCTTGGGTTATCCTGGGTGGCTAACCCTCCGGGGGTTAAAAATCCGAATAAAATCTTATCTCTTATCACTAGAGAACGGAAAAAGTACCGAAGACAAAGAACCCAGGAAAATAGAGATTAGCCTAAGAACCAGATACGAATATGCAGAGATAAGAAGGGAGGCTCAGCGACAATACGACAATGCCACAGCATCGAAAGTCAAGTCTGACCCGACGCTGTTGTATAGCCGAATCAGGAGGAAAACAACAGTCAACGACTAGGTAATCAGGCTGAGGAAGGAAATTGAGGAGTTCATAAGAAACGACCAAGAAGTATGAGAGGAGCTCAACATGAGATTTAAAGAAGTATTTACAGTGGAGACAGGAAGGACTCTAGGAAGTCAGAACAGAGAGCTACACCAACAAGTGCTGGATGAAATACACACAACTGAGGAGGAGGTGAAGAAGCTATGTTAACTTGATACCTCAAAGGCGGTGGGATCAGACAACATCTCCCCGTGGATCCTTGGAGAGGGAGCAGAGATGCTGTGTGTGCCACTAACAAAAACCGTCAACACATCCATTCCTGAGGTATGGAAGATGGCAAATGTAGTCCAATTTTTAAGAAGACAGACAAGAGTCATTAAACTACAGACCTGTGTCACTGATGTGTATAGTATGCAAAGTCATGGAGATCATCAGGAGTCTCCTCCTGATGGTGGAGCATCTAGAAAGACAAATGCTTATAAATGAGAACCAGCACGGTTTCAGGGAAGGAAATTCCTGTGTCACAAACCTACTGGACTTTTATGACAAGGTGACAGAAGTACGACAAGAGAGAGGGGGGTGGATAGACTGCATTTTCTTGGACAGCAAAAAAGCATTCGACACAGTTCCTCACAAGAGGTTAGTGCAAAAGCTAGAGGATCAGGCACACATAACAGGAAAGGCACTGCAGTGGATCAGAGAATATCTGACAGGGAGGCAACAACGAGTCAGTGTACGTGACGAGGTGTTAGAGTGGGCGCCTGTGACGAGCGGGGTTCCACAGGGGTCAGTCGTAGGACCTGTCCTATTTCTGGTATATGTGAATGACATAACGGAAGGGATGGACTCAGAAGTGTCCCTGTTTGCAGATGATGTGAAGTTAATGAAATGAATTACATCGGTCGAGGATCAGGCAGGACTACAAAGAGACCTGGACAGGCTACAAGCCTGGTCCAACAACTGGCTCCTTGAATTTAACCCCGCCAAATGCAAAGTCATGAAAATCGGGAAGGGCAAAGAAGACCGCAAACAGAGTATAGTCTATGTGGCCGAAGACTGCAAACTCACTCACGAAAAAAGATCTTGGAGTGAGTATAATACCGAGCACATCTCCTGAGGCACACTTCAATCAGATAACTGCTGCAGCATATGGGCGTCTGGAAAACCTAAGAATAACGTTCCGATACCTCACTAAGGAATCGTTCAAGACTCTGTACACCATATACGTCAGGCCCATATTGAAGTATGCAGCACCAGTTTGGAATCCACACCTGGTCAAGCATGTCAAGAAATTAGAGAAAGTGCAGAAGTTTACAGGAATAGTCCCGGAGCTAAGGGGATTGACCTATGAATAAAGGTTAAGGGAAATCGTCCTGACGGCATTGGAGGACAGGAGGGTTAGGGGAGACATGGTAACGACATATAAAATACTGCGTGGAGTTGACAAGGTGGACAAAGACAGGATGTTCCAGAGATGGGACACAGAAACAACGGGTCACAATTGGAAGTTGAAGACTCAGATGAATCAAAGGGATGTTAGGAAGTATTTCTTCAGTCATAGAGTTGTCAGGAAGTGGAATAGCCTAGAAAGTGACGTAGTGGAGGCAAGAACCATACATAGTTTTAAGACGAGGTTTGATCAAACTCATGGAGCAGGGAGAGAGAAGACCTAGTAGCAAACAGTGAAGAGGTGGATTTAGGAGCTAAGACTCGACCCCAGCAACCACAAATAGGTGAGTACACACACGCACACACACACACACACACACACACACACACACACACACACACACACACACAAACACACACACAAACACACACACACACATATGCATATATATATAATATATATAATATATATATATATAATATATATATATATATATATATATATATATATGTATATATATATGTCGTGCCGATATGTAAAACTGGTCAATTAGCAAGAACTCATTTAAAATTAAGTCCTTTCTAAAATTTTCTCTTATACGTTTAAAGACATATTTTTTTCATTAATGTTAATATAAATTTTTTTAATTTTGCTCCAAAAGAATATTAGAAAACTTACCTAACCTTATTATAACAAGAACAATTTATTTTAGCCTAACCCAACTAAATATATTTTAGATTTGTTTACAGAAATTTAATACTAAACAAACACAGTGAAATATATTTTTTTCGTTAGGTTCAGAATGATTTTGGCGAAATTATTGCATACAAAAATTTTCACTTGTCCTATATGGCAAGATGAGCGTTGCTATTTAAGCCAAGATCGCAAGTTCTGCCTATTCGGCACGACATATATAATAAATATATTATATATATATATAATATATATATATTATGTCGTGCCGAATAGGCAGAACTTGCGATCTTGTCTTAAATAGCAACACTCATCTTGCCATATAGGACAAGTGAAAATTTGTGTATGCAATAATTTTGCCAAAATCATTCTGAACATAACGAAAAAAATATATTTCACTGTGTTTGTTTAGTATTAAATTATTGTAAACAAAATCTAAAATACATTTAGTTGGGTTAGGATAAAATAAATTACGCTTGTTATAATAAGGTTAGGTAAGTTTTCTAAGATTCTTTTGGTGCAAAATTATAAATTTTTACATGAACATTAATGAAAAAATATATCTCTAAACGTATAAGAGAAAATTTTACAGGACTTAATTTTAA